ACCATTTAGATATTTTATGGTTTTGGTTGACGCTTCTACACGTTGGTCACACGTGTGCTTGTTGTCCATAAGGAACGCTGCATTCTCCAAATTGTTGGCTCAGGTTATCAAGCTCAGGGCTCACCACCCTGATTATCCGATCAAATCTATTCGATTGGTTAATGCTGGAGAATTCACATCTAAAACTTTTGATGACTATTGCATGTCGGTTGGGGTTGAAGTTGAACATCATGTACCCCATGTTCACACCCAGAACGGCCTGGCAGAGGCTTTCATTAAGCGTTTACAAATGATTGCTCGATCGTTGGTCATACGCACCAAGCTCCCGATCGCTGTTTGGGGCCATGCAATATTGCACGCAGCAAAGTTGGTCCGCCTGAGGCCTGTTGTGACACAACCATTTAGTGCCCTTCAGTTGGTCACCGGATGCGAACCCAACATATCGCATCTACGCGTTTTTGGTTGTGCGGTCTATGTGCCGATTTCGCCGCCCTTACGTACAAAAATGGGGCCTCAGCGAAAGATGGGAATCTATGTCGGATATGATTCTCATTCGATTATTCGTTACTTAGAACCTTTGACACGCGATCTGTTTACCGCTCGTTTCGCGGATTGTCACTTCTATGAGACAGTCTTCCCGCCGTTAGGGGGAGATAAGAACGTCAACGTTCCTAATGAACGACGCGAATTATCGTGGACGACTCCCACTTTGTCTCATTTAGATCCCCGCACCGCTCAGTCTGAAGCTGAAGTGCAACGCATATTAGATCTCCAGAGCATAGCTCAGAGCATGCCAGATGCTTTCACCGATCTAGCGCGCGTGACAAGATCACATATTCCAGCTGCGAATACGCTTGCAAAGATAGATGTACCAAATGTACGACGGACTACCCTCCTGGAAGCCCGGGATGCCAATTCTGGTGATCCACGTACATTAGCGGCTAGCCAATCATCTGCCCCTACACAAAAGCGTGGCAAACCCCTTGGTTCAAAGGATTCACACCCCCGGAAGAGGAAAACCACGTCACAAGGTCCTGAAGAGCCTACCGTGAATCTGACTATCGCTTACTCATTTTACCCAACTCATGAGGAAATTCTAGATTATGGAAGCGTCCTTGAAGAGACGAATCCTCCTCCCGAGAATCGTGAGATTTCGGTCTATTTTGCTAGCTTAGATGATGTATGGCGTAGAAATGAGATGATTGTCGACGATGCATTAGCATTTGCAGTAGCTACTGAGATCATGTTGAGCGATGACATTGAACCGCGTTCCGTTGATGAATGTCGACGTAGAGCTGATTGGTTAAACTGGAAACAAGCAATCCAACTCGAACTTGATTCACTTGCGAAACGTAAGGTGTTTGGACCTGTAGTTCCTATTCCTCCACATGTGAAGCCCGTTGGCTACAAGTGGGTTTTCGTTCGGAAGCGTAATGAGAAGAACGAAATTGTGCGTTACAAAGCTCGTCTTGTAGCACAAGGTTTCTCACAATGCCCCGGGATTGACTATGACGAAACTTACTCACCCATTATGGATGTGATTACTTTTCGATACCTTATCAGTTTGGTAGTTTCCGAAAAACTGGATATGCAGCTGATGGACGTAGTAACCGCGTATCTCTATGGGGATCTTGATACGGAAATTTATATGAAAGTTCCCGAATGACTTACATTGACTGGTTCAAATATTTCCAAACCCCAGAACACGCTCTCAATTCGACTGAGGCGTTCACTATACAGTTTGAAACAATCCGGAAGAATGTGGTATAACCGTCTGAGTGAGTATTTGACTAGTCAGGGATATGTGAACAACGAACTATGCCCTTGTGTGTTCATTAAGAAGTCACATTCCGGATTTACGATTGTTGCAGTATATGTCGATGACATGAATCTCATCGGAACTCCTGAAGAGCTTGCGAGAACTGCTTCGCACCTGAAGTTGGAATTTGAGATGAAAGATCTAAGAAATACTCGATACTATCTCGGTCTCGAGATAGAGCATTGTTCGGATGGAATCTTAGTACATCAATCGAACTACACCCAGAAGGTGTTACGCCATTTTAATAAGGATAAAGTGAAGTCTTCGAGTACTCCTATGGTCGTTCGTACGCTAGATGCAAAGCGAGATCCCTTCCGTCCGAAGGAGGATGATGAAGAGATTTTGGAGCCTGAAGTTCCTTATCTAAGTGCGATATGCGCTTTATTGTACTTAGCTCAATGCACTAGACCCGACATCTCCTTCGCTGTTAATCTTTTGGCAAGATACAGCAATGCACCAACACGCAGACATTGGACTGGCGTGAAAGACATCTTTCGTTACCTTAAGGGTACTACTGATTTGGGCTTATTCTATCCCTACGAATCCTCGAGTGATGCCGCACCCTATGCTCATCGGGTTGATTCTAGCCTTGTTGGTTATGCCGACGCTGGATACTTATCTAATCCGCACAAGGCGCGTTCTCAAACGGGTTATGGCTTTACCGTTGGAGGCACCGCAATATCTTGGAGGTCAACTAAACAGACCTTAGTTGCCACTTCGTCTAACCATGTTGAAATTCTTGCCTTACATGAAGCAACTCGGGAATGCTTTTGGTTGAGAGCAGTAGTGGGCCATATTCGAAGCTCCTGTGATCTTCATCCCGCCGTTAATGCCCCGACGACGATTTTTGAAGACAACGCAGCTTGCATCGAACAGCTCAAGAAAGGTTACATCAAAGGAGACAACACCAAGCATATTGCGCCAAAGTTCTTCTTTACACATCAACAACAAGAGCATCAGAAGATTGAAGTCACGCAAATCCGATCACAAGACAATCTGGCCGACCTCTTCACCAAATCACTACCGAAGGCGACGTTTCAGAAGCTTGTTCATGGAATTGGTATGCGTAAACTTTCTGAGTTGTAACTTTGCTATTTCTCTTTGGAATTATGTCAAACTCAAGGGGAGTATCTTCTGGATACTCGCTTGATCTTAATGTACTATTTTTCCCTACGATTAGGAGCATTTTTCCCACTGGGTTTTTGCTACCTAACTAGGTTTTAACGAGGCACCCACCTTGAGCTGGTCATATCCCTGATGACGTCCTGTAGACGTTTCTTTTGACTTTGCATTTCTCACGCATTTTTCCTTAGACTATGGATTTTGTCTCTACTTGGGTTTTTGCCATAGCCTTAGGGTTTTTTAGTGAGACTTACTACTTATGCAAGTTCCTACCTTATTGAGAATAAGCGTTGTTCCTTGGAATCAGTGCCGACGAGTCGACTTCCTCAACTTCTACATGATATTGAATCTACCTTAAGTATTTACACACTCAAGGGGGAGTGTTGTAAACATTCCTAGTTTAAGTATGATTGTGTAAATCCTGGATAAGATTTGATTCTAGTTATCCTTTCCTATTACAACTTGTATTACTTGGAGGAGAAGTAATATCTTCTCTCCCTTTACTACTATAAATAAAGTCACAATGTAGGAGGGATAACAACACACACATTCCCCTACAATTCTACAAACACACATCTCTCTCCTCTCTCTCTCTCTGCCGCCGACCCTAGTCTCTCTGTCAGATAAATATAGACCATAACATCATTTTTAAATTTGTCACTTTGTAACTCTTCCGTGTACGTTGGTCCAGTTTCCACCACCCTTCCTCCATCTTTGGTCATCCCTCTTTTCCTCCTTGTATTCCCTTTTTTTCTCAAAAAAAAAAAAACCAAACATGAAAATTAAGTGGTAAATTGTCTTGTATATAGGGTGTTACTCTTCAATTCGTTGTATTTTGTATACAAATATTTTCTCCTTCCAGTATTCTAACTTAAAGTAATAATATCATTTATAATAAAAAATTAAACACAAAATATTTATTAAACGGGCTCTTATATTCTTGTTTATAGAAAATCAGAAGTTTACACTTTATATTATTACTAGCTTTGTGCACGTTTGTGCCTTTTTTTTTAAGGAATCTTAATTAAACATTCCTGGTACTGTTCACTTTTAACGTTAAGGATATTTTTACCTTGAAAAGTCATTTCTGGTACTATTCACTTATACATTTATTTTATCATTTTTATTAAAACTAAAGTTTTTTTTAACTTTTCGTCAGTTATTTTTTTAAATTTATTTTTAATTGTGCAAGTCCCAATTGCTGGATTCAATATATTATTTTTCGAAAAAAAAGAATAACCTGTACATCTAAAATTTAAAATTCCATTTTATTGCATTGCAAGTGTGCATTCTTGATCATGTGATGGGCTGCATGTCAATCCAAAGCACTGACTCGACTGCAAGCAACACTGAAGAGGAGAGGATCCATGTCTGGGGTTTACCAATCCCTTTGTTCTTTTATGGCCATTTTTCACTCCATGCACAGATCTTAGCACAGGGCCCAAGCTTAATTGTCAATAGAGGAGCTTTGTTCTCTTAACTATTAAGACCATAAAGAACGGTTGAGATTTAATTCATTCGTGAAAACTAACATGCAGAGAAAGAATCATGCGTTGATAGGAAATGATTACCGCACTCTTTTTTCTTTTAATTGTACTTTTTTTTTTCCGTAGCTATTAAAATAAATAAATTATTGAAAAATTAGAGAACATACTCGAAGAAAGAAGTATAAAACGAGAGAACGAGAGTGCGGAAATCATTTTCTATAATCAATTAAGTTTTGTTGAGTGGCTTCGAAAAGTGAAAGTTTAAGGGACCTGACTTCTCTGCCCTCTCACTTCCCATACATTCTCATCCTCTCATATTTGTGCGGTCACGGTTAAGCCACGTCAACATTTTATATTACTATTACTTTTTATCTTATTATCTCTATCAAAAATAAATATAAAATGTTGACATAATTTAACCGTGACCGCATAAAATAGGATGAGATATGAGTGTATAGGAAGCATGGCAAAGAAGCCGGGTCCAAGTTTAAGACGAATGATAAAAAGTTTTGAGTGCAAATATCACAGCTACAAGTGTCGAGAGATTTTGGCCAAGTCCCAACAAAAAAATCTTTAATATACAGGTCACAAGAATCAAGCTGCCAGAGCCGACCACCTGCTAAAACTCAATTCCACTCAAGAGATTGCTACAATATAAAGTAGAGAAAACCAAAAGAAGAATGTGGCCAAGAAGTCGGGGTCCAAATCAGAGCATCAATGTTGCAACAAACCCCACAATTCACATGCCCTCTATGAGTGAATGTACCACATGTAACAACTTTATTACCCACATCCACAGATATTAATCCATCCAAAAATACATATGACTAGTAATTTATCAACTTCTTTTTCTTCAGCACGCTTAAATACTTCATACTCCGATATTTTGAGCCATTTGATCCCATTCAAACGATAAGAATAACGAGTACTAATTATTTCATCTCCATAGGATGTCACATGAGCATTAATGATCACTATTTGCATGTTTGAGATAGGTGATCAAACGGACCAAATCAAATCATATGCCTCTTCTCCATGGATCTTTGAAGATTTTCTCTGGTGTTCCTTAGGGCATCAAGAACTTGCCTAAGATTTTCACCAACTGGCTTCAATTCAGTGCTGGTGTGACAGGTGGCAGGCATATTCACAGGTACTAATGCAAGTGTGTTATCAACATAATAACCCCCCCAAATCACCATTTTCAATCTCTGTTAAGGTTGAACAACTGAAAAAAAATTTCAAATTTTGTTCTAGTTAGCTTAATAAGAAAATCCCAACATGGAATGTCAAAGATTATTTCTAAACACTAGTGATTTTACAGTGCAGATGGTTAAAAGCTGAGTGCCAAAATCGCTACGCTAAGTACAGACACTAAACCTGATAGAACTGGTCAGGTTAACTGGACTTACATACCTATTACTATCTTCAATCTTTGGATCTTCAGATTTATGACTTGGGTTGTGGCAGAACCCTTTTGGGGAAGAAGAACATTCTATGCTGGAACTAGAACTGGAACCAGAAGTGCTTTGAGAAGAAGTGTTTTCATCAGTGAAAGTGCTTTCATGGCTTTGCTCAGATGTGGTGGAGTCTGCTGCATTTTGTCTTGATTCCTCTGGGATTTCTGACTCTGCAACTTTGGATTTGGCTTCATGGGTTTCTGGATGATTGGATCCTGATGAAGTGGTAGTGGATTGTGTATAAGATTTTTCACTATTTTTGGAGGAATTATTCAAAGATTCAAGCTTTTTCTTCAAACAATTGAGCTTCTTTTCTGCTTTTTCCTTTAGTTTGATCTCTTCTTTGAGCTGCTTCTGTAGTTCTATTAACTGTTAACATTTGAAACATTACAATGTGAATGACAACATACAGATATGTGAATTTATATAACTGGTTAGCTCTTTTGCGTTCCTAATATATTTACACTAAAGTTTTAACTTACCAGTTAGTGTTATTGAAAAGAATAACAATTATGGATCGATGTTTACTAATCCGTAATCGAAATTTGAATACATTTACCTTCTTGCCAATTAGTTCTGCATCCTCTTTTGCAACCCTTGAAGCTTGCCTCTCCGCCAGCAGTCTCCCTCTGAGGCACTCCAAAGTCCTCAAACCACCATCTCCTTCCATCTTGTCACTGAGACAAAACCCATATCCAACATTGTCAATTTTGATGAGAGAGAGAGAGAGAGAGAGAGAGAGATAGAGAAACCCACCTCCATTTTTCATCTTCCATGCCAGTAGTAGCTGTCATTGTTATTTTTAGGTGGAGAATACACACTTCAGCAAGAACACAGCTGCTTGATTGTCAGTGTTTAGAAAACCAACGACTGAGAGCTTTGGACCAGGTGGGCGACATACATTTAAAGGAGAGACTACGGCTCTTGTAAGTGGAGGCTAATTGTCGGCCCTCCTGTTTAGATGCCATTTTTATCTCTTTCTATTTATGTGATCACGGTTAAGTTATGTTAATATTTTATATTTTTATTGCTTTTTGTCTTATTATTTTTATAAAAAAAATTAATATAAAATATTGATGTGACTTAACTGTGATCGTACAAAATAGAAAGAGATAGAAATGACACCCAAACAGGAGAGCAGACAATCTGCCTCCTTTATAAGTAGGTTGGTAACTGTGATCATCTGCCCAAAGTGTGACATCTGTTATTTATGCCCCTCACCCAATGTTTTATTTTGTGGTGTTACCTCTTCGGTTTCATTTATTTTGTTGTCTTGGTCCTCACTCCATACATTTTAGTAGGCTGTACTTCTAAACACAAAAAACTTGTACAATCAGAACTCGAGAAGAATTGGTCACGAGATCCCTTTAATCGCTGGTTGTTCAGGTATTGGATTGGATTACCGAAAGTATCATGATACTCGCATGCTTTTTATCCCGTATGCGTTAGGAAATAGCAAAAGAAATCAAAACTCGAAATAAGTTTAAGACTGAATTGAAGCAATGGTTCTTGAGCTTGAGTCTAATTGGAGTATTGGTCCCTCAACTAAAAATCGTGATTATTTGTTCCTAAACTTATTACAATGTACATATAACAATGGTCCTTTAGGTAACTCCAATACAATTGTTGCATTTTTTTTTTACCCCTTTAAACCTTTGTTTTGAACAAAATTTCTCTCGGTGTTATTCAAAAGGACCAATCTTCCACATTGTAACAATTTCAAGAATAAATACTCATTGGCTTTCAGTTCAAGGACAATAGCTCCAATTGAACCAAAGTCCAAGACCAATGCTCCAATTTTCTCTAACTCTAATATCCATGTGTCGGTAAACAAAAGAAAAGTCAGAAACCAAAATAATTTTGATTCTTGTTCTAGGCAACGAGAAATTTTTTACTAGGAGCACAGTTCAGTACATCAAGTATCATAATATAATTGGTTAGAATTTTTTTTTAGTTTCCAACTAATTGTATTATTACACTTAATGTATCAGGTCATATTCCCGGCATACTGAAAAATCTCTCATAGGAAACAAGAAGTTCCATAAAGTGTTTAGGGATGGTTTGATTTGAAAGACCTTGTTTATGCATGTTAAATCATAACCAAGGCTTGTTAGAATTTTCTTTATATAAAAAAAACGGTTTTAGTTCTCTAATGCAGAGAATTTAAGACCATTTAAAGTAGGGAGTTTTAATGAAAAGCCCACGGTACTGTTCACTTTAACGAAAAACCACATTTTTACACTAAAACGTCAAACCTGGTACTATTCACTTTACCCTTTATTTTGTCCTTATCATTAAAACTCAAAGTTTTCAAACACTTTTCATTAGTTTTCCTTTTAAAGTATCGGATATGTGAGGAATTAGACCCATGTAGTTCCACCAATATTACAGATACATGAATATAGGCAGTGAAATTTGAAATGCATCGCTATCATCGATTTAAATTTTTTCATGCAGAAATCTGGCTGTTACTGTCACGTGATCTCATCTCACTTAATTGTCTTGCTCCTCCTCCTCCATCTTGCTTATGATTTTGTTCTCATCATCTGTCATGCACAGTTCGGAATTGGACTCTTGTTCGTTTGTTTGTTTTTCTCTCCACAGGGAGCGTCGGAGAATGATTTAAATAGAACAGATTCACTGCTGCCATGACATCTTATTTTAATAAAATAAAGTTATATGTAAGTTTTTATAGCATGATATGAGATTATGTGATTAAATTGAGACGTTACGCGCCGATGGGCTCGATTTATGCAAGTTCATGCCTCGTAACTGATCCTTGAGTATCCACGTGTCATTCAGCAACATATATTGCAGACATAATTAGTAAGGCGTACTCACATGCTATGATGGACCAACATCTTTGATAAATATTTAAGACACCCACCTCTTTTCTTAATTTTTATTCAATCAAATTCCTAACTTGTTTTTCCAAATGTAGAAAGGAAAGGGATCTTCCGGATCCCTTCCACCTAATTCATCCAATTCATAAATATGGATCCTTGAAATTTGATCTAACGGCTACAAATAGGAACCATTTTAAAAGTTATAATAACTTTAGTTGTTGGATCAAATTTTAAAGGTTCGAATTTGTGAATTTGGTGGATTAAGTGGAAGGGATCCAGAGATGATCCATTTCCATGTAGAAATCCATGTAAAGTTGACAACTCCTTCTGTTAGTTAGTATTTATATTTATTCATAATAAAATGATTTTTTTTCTCATTACCAACTGTTCTATTTATGAGAATTAAAACTCATAACCTATTCCAACGAAGTAGAGGCTTAGGAATAAATTACAACTAGACGAAGTAGAGGTTTGCAGCGTATGTTACCGGAATAATTTTGAAAGCATAAAGTGGCCAAGTCACCTCTATAATCATCATTAGTTGTGTATGTTTGGTGTAATTTTTCTTTACAACAATATATTGTTGGCGGAACAACAATTAGAATCAATTAAATTAATGGATAATTTCTAATATATGTAGTTATACTTACGAAATAGATAAGTATATAATCACAAAGAATAAAATTACAAAATGCAATAAACTAACGGATTTTGCAGATTGAGGCTTGCGGATTTGCAATGTCTTTGAAACAGAATTTCGCTTTTACTCACTGCTTGTAGTTCTTTTGGCGTCTGCTCCATCAGCATTCAACTATCTATGATCAAAGTGTTAGCAAAACTTTGATTTTGGCGAACTTTTGCGTGTTTCTCTGTCAGGAAATATGTATGAATGAGTATGCAAATCGACGTGTTTGATGCAAGGTTAGAAATATATAAGCAGTAGGATGGCGTTTCACTGTTTGATTCAAATTCAAACAGCCACAATTGTTTGAAATGAAAGTTTAAAAATTAATTAATTAATCCCTAATAAAACGTTTAACCAATCAACGTTTTAATATGGAAAAATGAAGTAATTGGTATTTGTGTCTTTGTCAGCTGAGCTCCAAATAAGGCCCACAATACCCTTTCGGAAAGTAAACGACGCCATGAGCAATAGTCATCGCATGCCATGATGCACGATGGATTTTAGCCATCCAAGCCGAGGTCGTTTACCAGTCCAAAAACGCATTTCAAGTTTTGTAACGAAATTTGGACTTTCTCCGTATATTATTGTTAGAGATGGATGAATAAATTAGTATCTGTCCGTTGTTGTCTTTAATCTAGTTGTAGGAGGGTGGTCTGAAACAAATCTATGCACTTCAACTTGAATACTATGATGGCTAACCTGGCTATACAACTAAAGATTTCTCGGCATTCAAAAAATTTAGACTTAAAACCATAATATTAAATGATACTTCGGTGTGAAAATTGAAATCATTGTATATCATATACTATTCATAGCAAATCATTTTTGTTTTAAAGTTTTGAAAACTAATTAGCTTGGTTTGCACTCAAAGAAACGACTAAGCAATTCTTTAAGTATTTGATCATGCGCCATCAGTACTTCTGCTTTTACCAAACTTCATTTCCCTACTGAAGGTTTGAACTCTCTCTCTCTCTCTCTCTCTGTCTGTACACACACACATATTAGGAATGCAAAAACTTTAACCACACTCATTATCATTAACTGGACCAGTCCAATTATTTTGAGTGGGACCTGGGTTTGGCACCTTTTATGTCCCTTAGCTTGTTTATATTTTCAATTTAGAATAAGAAATAATTATTTAGAGAAGGATAACAATCCATCACAAATTGAAATCACAACTACATACTCTAGTAGAACTGATGTAGCATTAGATGAGTTGGACTACACATAAGAGCTCAATTGTCTAACTATACTATTATAGCGTATCAGCCTCAACTTAGAGCAATTGGAGTGAATTGAGAGTCTGAGACCGCTTAGGTACCGTTTGGTACGTGGGACAGGACAGAACGGAATGGGACGAGGAGTTCTGTCCCACGTTTGGTGCGCCTAAAACGGGTGGAACGCGTTGTTTCAGGGGATGAATTTTGGGTAAATTTTCGTTCCACCTCACCCCCCTGGAACGACTTATTCCACATCCGTAAAACACAAATTTACAACATCTTCGTCTTCTTCTTCTTCCTCCTTGTTTCCATCCGAGGACATCTTTGCTCCCTCTCCATTTCCTTCTGTCATGTCCTGTCCTATCCCGTTCCATTCTGTTCCGTCCCGTCCTGTCTGCATACCAAACGATACTTTATGGAACGTTAGTCTTCGGTGAGCAGGGAATCTCCTTGTACGGGCAACACCTTCAAGCAATCCCTGCTATCAAGGGATTTGATAATGCCCACGTATTTCTGAATACCAAGTAGTTGGATCACCCACTACTCTAGCACGTATGACCTTATGTCCTACTTTAAAGGATCTTAGTTCTTCTTGAACTTGACTCTTAATTAATTTAACTTTAACGTTATCCAAATCTTATCATAAAATGTGAGAGTCCAAATAAAGAGTCCTAACAACAACAACAAGCTCCAAGACAATTTCAAGTTTCTAGTTCACATTCGTCAATGACTTCTCATCCATCGGTTTCACTTTCAAAATATCCAAGGTCTTCACAAGTATCGTCATCTCCAACTCCAATGCCTTCTCATGTCCGTTAACAAGCTCAAAGATCTCTTAAACCTTCGTAAAGTAAGTGTCCAAAAAGAAAGGGAAAGGAAAAGGGTAGGACGATTGTCAGTAGTGACTTGAAACACCAAAAATTTTATGTTGAATTGCATGAACAATTTATATTTTCTAGTTGTATTAATGTCGTAAGGCATTTTGACATACAATTTTGTTTGAACTTTAATTTTAGTATGATTAAATTTTTCAATTGGGTTGTACTAATTGACACATCCCGACCGAGATCAAGGCATGTTGGCCGTCACGTGAGGGTGACGTAGCCATGTGCACAGTGCGGAAGCAATAAGGATAAGAAAAATATGAATAATTAAAAATCGA